GTGATAGGATGGCTGGAGCCAGTGCTCTTTGTGTTTCCCTGGCCCAGGTGCACATTTTTTTCTTGTGAATTTGTCCCACATCCACTTTTAACAGTTGTGGTCTTCAAGGACAAGGCATTGCACACCAGGATAGTGCTTCGGTGTGAAGAGCTACCTCCTTTGTTTGTTCTGAACCTGATTTTGTTTCATTGAATGGAAGCACAGCCTGTTCCCCCGGGAGAACTTTCACAGGAAAGGGCAGTGCTGGTGATGATGCACCAAGCCCATGAAGCTCCTTGCAAGGAAACTGGGAGCCACAGAAGGAACTCCACTAGTTCATTAAGTTTCTGCATCTCCCCTAGATTTGCCTCAAATAGGAAAGTTATTAATATGACTTGTGACTGTAGCACTGCAGGATGGAGTAACAGATCTGGAGAGCTGCTCCCCAAACATCAGAATCACCCTGACTGAGACATTTGAAAGAACATTTAACTATCCCCTGGCTATCCATCAGGGCCACCTCTGTCCCATTTTGATGTGCCCATTATCCAGCATGTGGATGCTTCCAGTAAGGCAAGTATCATACCAGCCAGGTAAGGTAAAAGAAAAACTGTGTCTCAAGAAGCTAAGAAAGATCACTGCTTTTCTCCAGGAAAGCTGGAGTTCCTAGCTTTGAAATATTCTGTAGCTAACAAGTGTGTGACTATCATATTCATCTGTACAAGACTGATGGCAAGAGCAACCCATTCGCTATGGCTTGAATTCCTCATGACTGAACTACTGCACACCAAAAAATCACAGGAATAACTTGACTTTATGCTAAATATCCTCTAGGAAGATCTGATAGAACAGCAGATGCCTTCCCTAATCCACCCCTCCATGCAGGAGCATTGGTGAGAATGCACAGTGCAGGAGCAAAGAAGCGGATACTAAACTTCTGCAGCCAATGATGTCTACCAATATAAGACCTTCTGCCAGCTCAGAAGTCAGGTACATGCATTGCCAGAGGTTTTGTGTTGAAGTCAGCACAGGGGTTGGTACCACCTGTGAGGTTTTCAGTGTGGGTTTATGGGGAGAAGAGGAAGAAGGACCTTAGTCCAGCAGAGTTCTGACCTTAACATTTCATACTGGCACAAATCCCCTTCCTCTTCTTCAAAAGTAAGCAATTTATCATTGCCCTCGGGGCTTTCATGTCTGGAGGTGACCATGCTTTCTTCTCTAATGAGAAGAAAGAAACAACCAACCAAGTAAGTTAAGCTGTGTTGGTCAAAGTGGTCAACTACTTCTGTGTGTGAAGGGAGAACTGGAACTGAAGAGGAATTACAAGGCAACCAGGAGTTATGTTATGCCTTCTTGTTTTTTTCTACAGAAGAGAAAGAAGGACAGGTTTCCCTTTTAGATTCTCTGTGTCACTGGGGAAATGGGAAACCACAATTTACTTATAGCAGCTTTCATTATTGCGTGCACTCCTGGACCTAATGGCACAGATAGAGCCGAGCCGCAAGGGAAGCTGGAACACCTGACAAGCCAGCCTGAACCATCAGTGTGAGCCTGGAGAATTATCTTGCATTTCTATTGTCATGTTTGTGATCTGTGCAAGACCAAAGGGAAAAAAGAAAGATTCAAGGACACTGGAAGCAGTTTTCCAAAACTGGAAACCTGCTTTTCGCCAAGAGGATTTCCTGAGCAATCTAAGTGTTTGTGGATCTTGTCTCAAAGTTTGGATCAGTGGGGTATCTCTTCATGCACAAATTGGGATGAAGGATTTTCTTTCCTGTATGCACGCTTCTTCCTAAACCTGATCTTAGAGCTAACCAGTGAGGACTGCTGTCTCTGGACACCAGCTCAGGCTCTGATAGCTTTTGTAAGAGCATTTGTATCAAAATATTGTTGTGCTGGAGTCTCCCAGGCCATCTGGGGCTTTGTGCAGACAGGGTGCTTACAAATGAATGTGAACCAAAGCAAATCAGCATTGCTTGGCAGGGATGAAATGTATTGCTAGGGTCTGTCTCTGCCAAGCTAGACTGTTTGGCTCCAGTCCCACTCTTCAGGGGGATTGTCTGTCAAAACACAATTTGGTATTGTACGGAGTCACGGTTACATGGCTCGCTACTCCTTTAACCCCTCTGAGGCCTTACACTGTTGTTATTTATTGAGTGGAGACCTGTGAATCTCCAGCTCTAAAAGCAGCCCTTGAGCTCTGGTACCTTCCACCAATTGTCCCCCTTGTCGCTGTGTTGGTTGAAGTAGAGCTTTCCCTTAGGAGCTGTCACCCAGTAGACTGAAACCTTCTTGAAAGAAAGGTGTTATTTCTTAATGCCGTGAAATTATAAGAAGACATATCCTTGTACCATCTCATGATGGAAGCCTGGCTTCTTGTCCTAACCACTTCAAAAACCAGGTCATCCTTTCAAGGTGGGTGTCCTGCTTGAACACTTGATTGACTCTCCTCGACTGTCCCACCCCTTCATGAGCGGCAGCTGCTGCTTCTGCTGAGCCCTTCTGGCAAGCCCAGAGGCCACCTATTAGAAGGGCAAGCCAAGACATCAGAGTGAATGTCCTCATGGGTTTGCCAAGAGGTGTATAATCATATTACCCTGAGTTTCTGAGTTCATTCAATGTAAGTATGTACACAGTCAATTAACACAGTGGCTTGGCCACAACACAATGCTACAGGCAGCTCCAAGAACATTACACAGTCTTTGCTACAGTGGGAATCCTCAGTAAGCACTGGTAGAAGTGCTGTCTTTGAGCACAGGTTCTGCAGGGCCACCTCCCATACTGGAGGGATAAGCAAGAGGAGGATGTGCACATCCCCGTCAGGAGGCAGGTGAAGAGGCAGATCCCTGTGGATACTGAAGATGGCCAGAGGAGCATTGTCTGTCCCTGCGGAGGCCTGCCCTGCAGCACGTGCTGCCCCGCACGCTGCCCAGCCGGTCACGTCCCCACCAGCCCTGTGTGCAGCTGCGGCCCCGTCCCCGCGGGCAGCCTTGCACAGCCTGGGACGCTGCCTGCTGCCCGGCTCACACAGCACTGTGGCTTCCCCCGCGTGGCAGGCTTCGCGTGTTCTCCTTCAAAGTTCAGGCTCCAACACACTGGTACTGCCCGGGTCCCATGGTGATATCTGCTCCAGGGGCTCGGCTGCGGCTCTGGGACCTGTTATTGTCCCAGCAGCCCGGGGACCACGGTCCATCTGTCCTCCTGGGCACGGGGCTGCACGGATGCCCCCAGGGCTCAGCTGTCTGTGACCTGATGTGCAGCACAGCTGTGTGACCCTGGCTTGGTTTGCTGAGAAAACTGCTGCTGCACTGTGAGAAAGTACGTGAACTAAAGCCAGCAAGGTAAGAAAAGTGAAAACATAAGAATTAAAGTTGCCAAGATGAGGAAAACTGGCAGTGCAAGGCTCCAAAAGTAAATGCTGTGTGAAAAGGGATAAACCCCCGAAGGGCTCAGGGCTCAGTTACTATCTGGCTCTAAAGATCCCTGAGCTGGAGCTTGGAAATGCTCTGAGTCCTTGTCTCAGGTGTAACTCTGCTGTGAGGGTATACCTTAAGTGCTGTGCCCTGGGATAGGAGATGGAAAAAGCAAAGATGAGAAAAAAAAGGAAGGAAAAGAGTGGGTGGGTAAGCTGTAGAGAGGAATGCATTTAGTCCACTGGCAGGGAGGAAACACTGAGGAACTTGAATGAGAAGCACAGCCAGCCAAAGAGCCTGAGCAGCCCTGCTTGACTGCAGGCTCCCCTTCCATCCTCTTCCACTTGCCTGAAATGACTCCCTCCTACAGAAAATCCCAGCATCCCCTCCCCTGGCATAGCATCTTCTTCCTTGAGCTGGAAGCCCCATGGGAAAAGGGCAGCACAGCATCAGTCCAGCCATATCCCAGGAGTGGTGACCTGCAGACACCTGCTCTGGCTCACAGGCACCTGCAGCAAGCGTGAAGCTGTGCTAAATGTGCAGGACGTGATGTGATGCGATACAAGTTTGCTAAATGCACAGCAGGATGCAAGGGGGTTTTGCACAGGGGTACGTAAGTAGCTGGGGCAAGGGAGGCTGACAACCACCTTGTTGAGCTTGCATCAGCCTGCTGTTTGCCAAGGAGTGACTAGACACGCTCAATGTGTGATTGGGAGCCTTGTAAAGAGCAGAAGTTCAGATTCAACACTGGGGTAGTGGCCAGCTGCTGCAACCTCCCCAGGTGTAAGCACCTGAGAAGGGCTGTTCCCATGATGAGTGAGACAGTGCCATGAACTTCTTTTATTTGGGAAAACCAAACACAATTCAAGTCAAGTGATTTAATAAGTAATTATAGTGTACAGCAGCCGCTGGCATTGCATTAGAGGTATAGTTAAGCTCTTGTGGCTTGCAAGAGAAGAACCTGGTGATGACCTGTGACTAAAATACAAACAATTTTTGATTTTTAATATGAAATATGTCACTGACTAGCTCTTTAAGTTTTAATAACATCAACATCTAGAAAATAAATGTACCGTTTGCTCTGTCTAATGCTGGATTCTTCTACTAGTACATTGGGAACAGGATTAGTCCCATGGCAGCACAGAGCAAGTGGGGAAGACAGGGTGCTTTGCAGTGACTCAGGTCCATGTAGATGTGAGCTGGGTACAACTGTGCCATCGAAATGCTGGACCCCAACTTGTACCCTCCACCTCCCAAACTTTGCTTTGCCTTAATCTCAGTCTGTCTATCACAAGCCACTGACAGAACGACATGATATGCAGTGCATGCCTGGAGATGTAACGCTCCGTGTAAAGTGAGCAGTTTCACCCAGTAGGAGCTCTGCCAGGCACAGGGGCTCAGATCCCACCACGCGTGGGACGTCAGCACTGCCCACTCCCTCCGTCCCTCCCTCCTTCCCTTAATTTCTCCCTCCCGTCTTTGCTCACCCTCCCACCCTTTCACCCTCTATTCTCTCTCTTTTACCCTCTCTCTCTCCCTCCCTGAGAGGCTCCACTTATTTCTGTGTCGTGTTTCCCCATCGCTGTGAAGCGTTTTCTCTGCAGCCGGGAAGCATCCAACTCTTCCCTCCGCTCGAAGTTAATCATCTGCTTGTCATTAACCTGTGCCCTCCCACTCAGCGCTGTAGCTTTAACACGGGCTGTGGCAAGCGGGAGGGAGAACAAGCAGTGCCAGGCCCGGCCCCGGAGCCGTTGCGGAGCCCTCTCTGTTGCCCGGTCCCGTTGGACATGGGGAGCTGCCGCCTCCCCGCAGCCCTCCTGGCCGCTGCCCTCGCCTCCCTCCTGCCGCCTCCCGCTGCACCCTCGGCCCCCCGCAAGCTCCTGTTGTTCCTGCTCGATGGCTTTCGCTTCGACTACATCGACGACAGCGAGCTGGAGGGGCTGCCGGGCTTTCGGGACATCGTGAACATGGGGGTGAAGGTGGATTACATGACGCCAGACTTCCCCAGCCTCTCCTACCCAAATTACTACACGCTGATGACGGGTGAGTACTTGCATTTCTGTGCTGTGATGCTCCTCAGAGCTCCCAGCTCGCTGTGAATTCTTCCTCCAAAGACAATGTAAAAACATCACAAGCTATGCTTTTAGCTGGGAGTTTGAAAGCACTGTGGCATTACAGCTCAGTAGTGCCTGTCTGGAGCCTGCTCTGAACTTGGAAACGTCACTTGGAGCTGATTGTTGGGAGTCTGCCTTTGCTCTCCCACGGTGCTGCCGTGTCCCTATCAGCTGCCACCACCAACAGCATGGCCATCCCGGGCTCCCTGGTGGGACTACTGATGGGGATTACTGTATACGGAACGTAAAAAGAAGCAGGAAAGGCATGGAAAAGTAATACAGAGCCTGCTCAGAGCCTTTCCAGTTAATAAAAAGGCATGTAAACTGAGGGTGGCCAAGAAGAGAACTTACATTCAGTCAGCAGGTCTGGTTTGGCAAGTTCAGTGTTAAATTTCTCCTTAAACTACACAGACTTTCTGCTTTCACAGGTCCCTGTCTTAACTTTGCCCTAAGAAATTGTACCTGTAATAATCTGAAATAGCCAAATAGGAAAACACTGAAGATTTTTGCTTTTCCTCCCTTACAGTATTTTTGAATGCCCAGGAGAGGCTTTCAGAAACTGGAGAGGGTAGTCATGGGTTTCACGGTGCTGACTTGCTTTTAGTCTAAGTGGAGTGACACGGTTATAGTGACACTAGGAAGGTGCACAGAATATAGCTGGGCCATTTTCATCAGAGGCACTCTGGAAACAATAGTTAAATAAAAACAAACAGAAAAGTTTTCCTGGAGTTTCCAATTGGATTTTTATCTGGGTAATAATTCATCTGGAATTATTTAACAAGCACGACCTTCCACCTAATGTGGAGGAGTGAGAAAATCCATCCTCTCCTAAGATACGTGGCATCTTTGCTGTCCTTGGAACAATACAATGTGGAGCAGTCCATATACTGCTTGCTGGGAAAGCAAATAGATGCCATTGTAAGACAAAAATCTGACATCAGTTGTGCCCAGCTTGTTTTGAAACTGCTTAACCCCTTCCTCCCTCCCTCTATCTCAAGAGAAATGCTTTTCTCTTGCTCATCTCTGAACAGAATCAAGTACAAAATCACCACAGGGATTTTTCATGACTTGGTGCAAATCCGTGAATGCAGAACAAATGTCATGATTGAAAACAGAGATGTCATTTCACCCCAAACCATGCTCTTCATGTGTACTTAGGCAGACAGGTTTAGCACTCCATGTGTGTAAAAACGCCTTTGGACGAAGTTGTTAAAGAGAAGAGGGAAAGTGACTGCTTTCACTTATTACGACATTTAATCATCACTCCTAGTAAGTGTGCATGCGTAGAATGTAATCAGCGTAGTCTGCAATCAGCCTTTCAGGGAGTTCTGAAAACATCCTATTTTGTGCTCACAAAGAACGAGTTTTGGTTTAGATGATGAAACACCACTGATGGACTTCTCACATTTTTAGAGTATCAGAGTTTCCACACCCCAGCTTGAGGCAATGAGACAATCTATGAGATCAAACTCAACTCCTCTTGCAAGTCTCCTGGCCTTCATGATGAGGATGTCAATGCAAATACAACTTAACTGCAAATAACTATTCACCTTCCTAACACATGAATCACAACAGTGTTAAACAGGTCAGGAGCCAACTGAGGACTGAGTTAGGTGATCCAAAGGAAGATCCAAGGCTGCATTTGAGTCCTTGGGGTGTTAGTGAACCCTGTGACACTGTCCTGGCATGACAGCATAGAAGATTCCATGGGTGCACTGCTCTTACCCCCAGTGCTGTGATGCAGTCACCACAGAAAGGAGGTGTCATGTTTTAGGTGATGGTGGTGTTAGGAGTCTGGGGCACAGAGTAGACATAGCATTAGCTGTGTTCAGCCTGTGCATGTTTGATTTGCAAAGCTGGGGCAGCTTTTGGAGAAAACACAGCATGGCAGTGTGACATGAGCATCGTACCGTGGTGACCTGCTTAGGGACTGGCAAGTTACCATCTCCCTGTTGCTGCTGTACGGGCATGGGAAAGCTTAACATCACATCTCAGCAGTCATGCATCTCTTCTGTGGGACACACACACGCATGACTGTAACTGCTTTTGCTTCCATTTGCAACTGGGATGTGTGGGACTTAAATGCTGACAGTTTCTTGTGGGAAATCAGTGACTACAAGCTATTCTTCATGTCTTGTCCTCCACTGCTGCTTAAAGAGCTGTTAGGAAACTCAAGTTTTAACCTCCAAACTGCAGCATTTTAGCATTTGTGAATTTAGCTTTTTTTTTAAGCTAAATAAGCTTAACAAATATCTGGCCACATGTGCACATTCCCACCCCTGCCTTGTTCATTATATCCCACTGCTTTCTCAGATCCCTTCTTTTTCTGCTCATTCACAAGGTACTGTGGCCCCACATTCATATAAGAGTGAGCATGGCTGCACATGCTAGGACAGAGGACTCTGCTTTCCAGACATGGCTGCACACACTAGGACATACGGTGCCAAACTGTTTTCATCAGCCCTGCCAGAAGGTAGCTTTCCTCTGCAAGGGGCAGCTAGCAAGCAGTAGCAGGCAGTGCAGCTGCCCGGTTATCTGCCAGACCTTCTAGTCATCCCATTTTACTTACTGATGGTTTAAAGAGAGCTGAATTTAATATTCATGAGAAATAGCAAGTTTACCAAGATTTTCAAAGCTATAACCAAATAGATGCAACTGTAACTGCTGACCAGGAGCCGTGTATCCAAAAACAACTCACTGATGTATGCTAATGTGAAGCATACCCTGTTTTGCAGAGACTAGAAGCTAGGCGACGCTCAGGCACAGTGGGAGGAATAGGGTCCATCCTAGGTATCACAGTATCACCGTATGTTAGAGATTGGAAGGGACCTCAAAAGATCATCTAGTCCAATCCCCCTGCTGGAGCAGGAACACCTAGATAAGGTTACACAGGAACGTGTCCAGGCGGGTTTTGAATGTCTCCAAAGAAGGAGACTCCACAACCTCCCTGGGCAGCCTGTTCCAGTGTTCTGTCACCCTCACTGAGAAGAAGTTTCTTCTCAGGTTTAAGTGGAACCTCTTGTGTTCCAATTTATACCCATTTCCCCTTGTCCTTTCATTGTTTGCCACTGAGAAGAGCCTGGCTCCATCCTCGTGACACTCCCCCTTTATATATTTATATACACTAATAAGGTCACCCCTCAATCTCCTCTTCTCCAAACTATAGAGACCCAGCTCCCTCAGCCTCTCCTCATAAGGGAGATGCTCCACTCCCTTAATCATCTTAGTTGCCCTGCGCTGGACTCTCTCCAGCAGGTCCCTGTCCTTCTTAAACTGAGGGGCCCAGAACTGGACACAATATTCCAGATGAGGTCTCACCAGGGCTGAGTAGAGGGGAAGGAGAACCTCTCTTGACCTACTAACCACCCCCCTTCTAATACACCCCAGAATGCCATTGGCCTTCTTGGCCACAAGGGCACAGTAAACAGGTAAACAAACTGGATAAATTTTGGAGGGGAAGCGAAGGGAGGGAGGTGACTTGCCTGTGGTCATGCAGTGCTGCAGGGCCATGGAACAGCTCTCCTACCTAAACTTGCCACTGCTGTCAACCAATGAGAAGATGTTTGCCAGAGCTTCCCTGACTGATGCAAAAAGCCTCAGCCCAAAACCCGGCGCCTGCCCTTGGGCTTTCATCTACATCTACAGCAATTATAAGAACAAAACCCATAGCATAAAAACAAGACAAATGCTAATGGTTTGGCTTCTTCATTTAAAGTCATCAGTGATTCAGAGCTTAGGGGGAAGCTCCAGTCTCCCTTCAAGCCAGGGCATGCATCATGACCTGCTGTTAGAAGCACCAAACGAGTCAAGTCACTGCTGGAGCAAAGGGATCTTGCTGATGTACAGCTGGAGACTTTGTTTTGTTACAGAGATCTGGTGATGTGCAAGGTAACACAAGGATGTACTGGCTTAAAATCCCAACTCCTTGAAAAGCAGTCTTCTCTAACAACTTCATTCATGCTGTGTTTCACAGTTTTGGCTTCCACAGGGGTGTAAGGACTGGTTCTTGGGTGGTTGGGTTGTTTTCTGAGCTGCTAGACTGAATCCTACCTGCTGTCCCAGCTTTCTGTGCTCCAGTTATGATATTGCAGTTGTTGACCTGAAAGGCATGATACAAAACGGTGAATTAGGTAAAAGGAGCTGTTGCTGCTGACATGTATTTGAGAGAACTTTGTGGGGCTTGACATGAGCTTGACACGGGAGAGAAGCAGGAGTCGAAATACACGTATCCCAAAACGCTCATTTAATCACACCATGTGCTGTTTGTTTTGTGTAGAAAGGAATTAAGATCACAAGCCACCTCGGGCTGTTGTCCTGTGGGGAGCTTTTAATTCTTCTCTTTTCCTGCCATGGCCTGGTTCTGCAGGGAGCTCTCATACCAAGCTCAATGGCAAGTCTGAGGTCTCCCCTGTAACTGCTGCAAGCACGAGTTATTGCTCCAGAGCCCTTCATGCCATATCTCTCAAGAAAAGCTGCTCACGCTGAGGGGTTTAGGTCTTTCTCGCCTGCCAACCCATGGGCACTGGGGGAGTGCTGGGGCACCCCCTGCATCCCAGCTCCCCTGAAGTCCCCCCAGCTCAGGGTACGCAGGGCCTCTCACATTTCCAGCCCCAGCCAGCATAAACACAAGCAGACAGCATCACACCTGAGCTGGAAACCCAGGAGGATTCATTTTCCAAGATCCTAACAACAGATGAAGTCTTCTCTGGCAGGTCCTCCACGAGAATGTGCCAGCCACCTGGTCAGCTGTATTTCTCTTGGCCTCCATGGGAAGCAGAGGGAGTCCCTGCTCACAGCAGTGAGTGAGGAGCTGCTCAGAGAGGAGCCAGCAAGGAGCCTCAGTGCTGCTTTTTGGACAGGAGCTGATCTTAAATACTTGGCAGAGAGGCTGTGAGGTCCCATGAAGCTAGCAGGATGGAGGAGGAGTTT